TGTTGCTCTGAGTTACAGGCAGGAAAGTTGGCATTTGAAATGAAAGTGATCAATACTGCAGATAAAACTGATCCCAAAGCAGACTCAATTACCCATATTTATATAGGAAATCAGGGCCTGGGTTACTGCCCCAGCAGCACGGCATCGGCACCTGTAGTTCACAGAATCAACCACTGAGTGTCACTCAAGATACAAGAAAGAAGCTACGAGAACTGCTAGTCTAACGGATGGAGTCAGGACTGGATTCTGAGCTCAGTGACTTGGAGGTAAAACCGGAGTCAGTGGATCCAGGTGTGGATTCTGATCTCAGTGACTCTGATGTAAATGTAGAGTGATCCCACCAAAGTCAATGATGCCTGGGACAGATTCTGATCTGTTATCCTGGTGTAAATGCAGTGTCACTCCGCAAAACCCTTCGGAGTTATTCTGGATTGTAGCTCACAGCAGAATCTGTCAGAAGATCACAACCACACCATTCTCCACCCCAGAGGCTGACACAGCAGATTCACAGGCCCTGGTCATAGCCCAGCCATTTATCACATCATCCCTGCATGCTAATGCCTGTGAGGTTAAGCATGGATTCGTCTACCAGCCCCTCTTGACTGCACTCTCTGGCCGAGAAGGGGCGCAAGAGGTCTGGGTAAGGCAGCAGGAATTTTCCTGCCTTATGGCCTGTGCATGACACTGATTGGAAGTAGTCCCATGTTCTCCTTATACCCTGATGTGGAACGGCCAGATCACAGGTGTCTGAGCCTGGGCAGTTATATTGAACAAAGCTGTGTAAGGGACCAAATAGCTGAGAACTGTGAAAATTCAACTCACCTCGACATTTCCTTCATCCGCTAGGAAAGCAGTAAAAGGAGAACAAAATGAACCCAAATTTAACCCTTTCAGTCCAGCAAAGCATCCATGGTATAATCCCTTACGGCAGCAGGGAGGGAACTAAAGGGCCGGTGAAGTGGTTTTCTGATCAGACTTGGGGCTCTGAGAGCGTCAGAATGATCTGAGATGGGCTGATATTTCCAATCAAGCTGGAAATAAAATGCAACTTTTTAACAGTCAGGGAGAGTAACCATCAAAGTAACTCCCTATGGGCGGGGGCAGATTCTCCATCACTTGCCTGGAGATTGGATTGGTCTCTCTTAAAGGTTTGGATTCAGATCCTCAGCTGATGCAAGCCAGCAATGTAAACAGAGCTATGTTGATTTACACCAGCCTGCTCTAGTTAAATTGGTCAGCAATTCCCCTCCACCTCCCCATGGAAATTCATTGATATTTTTGGTGAAAATTGGAATAGTGAGAAAATCAGCAAAAAGACAAAGTGCCTCATGGGAGTTGAAGTTCAGGTGCCCCATGCTCCCATTCTCTTCTATAGGCCAGGCTCCCTGGTTGAACTATATTTCCCATGATGCATCATGTTTCCCCCCCCTTTTGGAGAAGGGTGACAGTGTGCATCATGGGAGTCCCTGGCAATGATGCATCATGGGAGATGTAGTCTGGCCCACTGAGGAGAATGATGTCATGAGAGTCATAGTTCAGTTGTCTCATCCCCAGGTTTAAATTCTCGTACTGTATTTCCTGGCACCCCGGGACTCGGGGTTTCTGCCCCACAGAGGGTACCGGGGCTCGAACCTTTGAAAATATTTATCAGAGCTGCACTCCGGACAGCTCGGGCTGAATTTAAGCCCTGTTCTTGCCTTTATTTATGACCTGTTTCTTTACCTTTTCAGCCTGGAGGTTGCGTTGTAATAGGTTTTTGCATTGCTTAATGGAGCATGTTCTATAGACAAAGGGCCAACCCCTCGGCTGGTGTCAAGCAGCCGAGCTCCATTGAATAATAATAATCTCTCACTCTTCTAAACACTTTTCATTCACAGCTCAAAGCACTTTGCAAAGGGAGCTCAGGATCCCCATTTTACAAATGGGAAAACAGAGGCACTGAGGCATGAAGCGACTTGCTCAAGGTCACCAGCTGGCTAGTGGCAGAGCCAAGAATAAACCCCAAGTCTCCTGTGTCCCAGGCCAGTGTCCTCGCTACTAGGCCACACTGCCTCCCAGCATCAAGGAAGCTACCCCAATTAGTGCCAACTGAGAACCTGGCATGTGCCAGCTCCATGCATTCTGCTGTGGGAGTGACTGCGGGGGTCTGATGAGCGGAGAGCCTGCAGAAAAGCAGGGCAGTGACCACTCCGAGGTGTTGGGAGCCCCAGAAATAATCAGAGAGAAGCTGAGCCAGCGCCTGTAATCAGACCGGAGATCGTGAGTGAGACAGAGCTGCCGGGGAACTGGAACAAAGAGCCGGGGGCGGAGAACTCACCTGCCAAAGCTACAACTAGGGCAATGATGCTCACAACTGCCATGAATCCGATGGCGTATCGAGACCGGTTCCTGGCCCTGGCCGGAGGCTGAGCTGAAAACATTAAAGCAGCTGTTTACATTCCCTGTGGTACTCGGGAAGAGACGATGAGGGATCAAACTTCGGATCATCACAGCAATTAAGAACTGGGCTACAGAACGGAGGCAGAGGGGATGATGGGGTCAGAATGGCAGGCCAGGAAGGTGACCGGAGCGGCAGAATTCGGAAAGGACAGCTTATGCCATTTGCTGATTTCAGGCCAAAGTTTTCAAACCTGGATGCTTCAGCCAGACTCCCGTATCCACAGTCAGGCATCTAAACAAGAAGCTGATTTCCAGCAGTCTGGCGCTCCCATTGAGGCCAAGGAGAGTATCAGCACCTTTGAACACAGAAATAGCCACCCTGGATCAGACGCAGGGTCCAGCTAGCCCAGTCACTTCGGCCTGGACCCACAAAGTGACGTAGCTGCCTCAATCTGGGATTAGGCACCTAAATCCAAGGTTTAGGTACCGCTGCGATGCACAAAACCCCCCTGCTCTGCTGCGTCTAACCCTGCAGATGCCTAAACTAATTCAGCACCTAGGGTAAGTGTCTATGTTTCTGCCTATGGCCATGATCACTGTCAGTCTAGGCACCCAGACACCTAACTCCTGCCTAAACTCCAGAGTGATTCAAAACCAGAGGGACGACCAGAGTCCCTCCACCTACCTTGCCTGATCCAGTACGTGTGCTTGGAAGCCACCTAGCTGAGGAAGACCTCTCTTTAGCCTAGTGGTTAAGCTACTCACCTAGCACAGAGGGGATCCCCAGTAAACGTTCCCCCACAAAGGGATTTGAACAGGGCTCTGCTACCTCTCCAGTGGGTTCCCGAACCATTGAGCGATGAGATATTCTGACGCAAGTCTCGCTTGGTGACACTGTTCATCTTTAAATAATTGAACTGTTAAATGGGCCAGAGACCATGTGAGACTGACTCCTTAGCCCCGTGGTTAGGTCCTCACCTGAGAGGCAGCAGATCCCTGTTCAAATCAGCCGGAGGAGGATTTGAAGGGGAGTCTCCCACATTCCAGGTGAGTACCAAAAACGACTTGGGCACCTCAGCCACCTGACGCCAGGAGAAGGCTCCCAGCTGCAGATCGCTAGCAGAGAGAGGCACCACCTGACAACGTGGCCTAGATGTTGAACTCCGTGAGGAGGCGGGACTGAGGACACCCCCCCGCCCCCGCTCAGCATCTCCCATGGGCTAGCTTAGGTGTCTCCCTGTCTAGCGGGCTGCCTTTTGTGGATCCCATTCTGAGGTGCCCCTCTCCCCCCATGCAGTGGACAGGAAGCCGAGGCTCCTAACCCAGGCTTGGTGGATCCCGGTGATTTTTCTAGGCACCTAAAAGATGGGTGATATGACGCTTCGCTTTGCAGCGCCTAAGTCCCTACGGGGATCTGGCCCCTTGTCTCCCTTGGCCTCAGTTCCCCATGTGTAACTTCCCTAACCTCACAGCGGGGTTGTGAGGATCAATACACTGACGACTGTAAGGAGCCCTGGTACTACATTAACAGGAGGCCACATAAGTATGTAAGCTGCCTAGATTGATCACTCAGTGAGAAAGCGTCTATGAGATACTTGAACACTGGTCTCTGGTTGGCAATGGAATTACGGAAAAGGAACTAGAAAATTAGATAGACCAGGCTGAAAAGAGACGCAAGGCTGAAGAGACAGGAAAACTGGCACATATATAGGACTGACAAGCTTAACGGATAGTTTGACTCAGTGGGTAGATGACAGATATACCAGGTTTCTGGTTTTCATCCTGGCTGACCCTGTGGCTACTGGAATAGAACTGTAATTGTGAGGATTTCCTATTTGCAAGTTTTTGAGGGCTTGTCTTTTTTTCTGTTACATGAGTCATGCATATTTCATTGTCTCTTTTCCTTTCAACAACAACGGGAAGGGAAACGCGTGAAGGAAAGAGGCAGTTTTTATTAGAAAGTGAGAGTGTGACATTTTGACTCCAGTGGAGCGACACCGATTCCCACCAGCTGGGGATCCGGCCACATTGACCCCCAAGGAGCTTTAAGTTATGCTGGCAATAGCAGTCCCTGTGGCCACTCCACTGGCCTAGGGTCTCCGGAGTATACTGTGCTCCAGCCCTACCCCCTCCTGCCTCTGGCAGCCTCCCCTCCCTTGTTGGGCAGAGGGTTAGGAGCAGCTCCACAAGCTAAAGTCCCAGCTGCCCACTTTGGGTAGCTTTGCACCATCTAGCAGCTAGAAGGGGGATCCAGGATATGGCCCAATAAGTGCAGGTTTTGCTCCACCCTCACCTTTGTGCAGCTTTTAAAATGAAGTTGATGCAGCAGGATAGAAGGGGCTGAAATGACTCACCCTGACCTGTATCTGTAGCAGGATTTGAGCCCTGTAATCTTCATCACTGAGAACATTGGCTGCTATCACTAGAGCTAATGAAGTAAGTCCCATGGATAGCAGCAGTAGTAGGTTATTATCCTCTAGTAGACCAGCTTCTGGGGTGGGGTATGTGCCACCCACTCCCAACAGCAGGGTTTGAACCCAGGGCCTTTAGCTCTAAAAGCAGCTGTTTCGACCACTTGAGTTAAAGAATTAAACCCACAAGACAGCAGCAACAATAGGCTGTTATCCTCCAGTGATGGGGTAAAGAATGTAACACTCACTCCACCAGCATGGATCACTAGCAGGGTTTAAACTGGGGACCCTAGTAGACTAGAAAGCCTGGAATGCTCTTAATTGAACTAATGGAAAAAACTTAATTAGCTTACAGAAGTTGTAAGTTGTTATCCTCTAGTGCTACTAAGGGAGAAAGAGAACCCGGTCTACACGTGGGTTACAGTGTCATCAAATATCAGAGGGGTAGCCGTGTTAGTCTGAATATGTAAAAAGCGAAAAAGAGTCCTTTGGCACCTTAATATAGACTAACAGACGTATTAGAGCATATGCCTTCATGGATGAATACCCACTTTGTCGGAGTCGTCCGACGAAGTGGGTATTCACCCACGAAAGCGTATGCTCCAATACGTCTGTTAGTCTATAAGGTGCCATGGGACTTTTTTTCACTTTTTACAGCGTCACCAAACTGTGCTGAGATGGCTCCCTAGGAAACTGCTTAAGAACAAGATCAAACAGAAGACAAATATACCTTGAGGCTGCTTTGTCAGCACCTGGTTGGAACTGCTGTGTAGCATGTCTCCTGCCTGCTCTTCATTGTGCCTGGGCCTCCTGAAGCTGTTGCCCATTCCGTCCACGTCAGAGCACACTTGAGTGAAAGAAAACTAGAGCATAAAGAAGTTTTCCGTTAATTAAATGAAGAGTGCAGGATAAGAGCCAGATAGTCACCAAAATCAGAGCATAACCCACAAATACACTGGGGACTCTTTGTCCCCTTCTTGTGGCTGTTTCATGATGGCTCTGTTATTGTAAGCACCACATAATAGGAAATAAACCCTGGCCCTTCTTTGGTGTGGCAGTCAGACTTGAATTTGGGGGCCCTGATCCCTGACCACGTGCTACTGAACTATAAATTAATAGTGATCTGGCTCCTGGAGAAAAACCCTAGGAGGCAGCAGTGTATTTCAGAGCTCACTACGCCCACTTAAACACACCATGGATGGCTGCGTAATTGTGTCACTCAGCCTCCTACTGCTGGAGCAGCCCGGGCAGCAGACACCTGTGTCTGTAAACTTCCAAGCTCATGTGAGGCGAACCACAGATAATTGTGGCGTGTGTTACATCACAGCTGTAAATCATTTGTCCCAGCTCAGTCACTGCCAACAGCTTCTCTATGACTCAGCTACGCTTTTAAACACTCAGCGCTTGGCCACATGGGGAAATGGACTGGAATAACCATTTCAGAATACGCTATTTCAGACCAGCTCCCCGTGCAGACAGTATTGTGAAATAAAAAAAGGATTTTATTCCAGAAGAATTACTCTGCTTGGGATTTTGCACTAATTATTCCAGAATAAGGTGATGTTTGTTCCAGAAGAGAGTGTCCACATGCTCTCCAGAATAGCTATTGCTGTCAATTTCCCTGTGTAGATGAGCCCTTATAAAACTCCCATGGATTTCAGTGGGGCAGGATCAATTCAACCCTATAACCTGTTTGACAGTGCACAGCACAATGGGCACCCTGCACCCTCATTTGGACCTTTGGGTGCTACAGCGATAGAAATAATAATAATAATAATAACAACAACAATAAATACATCTCTAATAATGTAACACTCATTTCTTATCTAGTGCTTTTCATCAATAGATCCCAAGTGCTTCACATGTACCCACCCTCCCAACAGCCCTGTGAGATAGGGAAATGCTGTTACCCCTATTGTACAGCTGGAGAAACTGAGCCACGAAGATGCTAAGTGACTTGCCCAAGGTCACTCAAGAAGTCTGCGGTGGAGCAGGGGATTGAAGCTGGGTGCCCCAAGGCCTAGCCAGTGCCCTAACCACTAGGTGATCCTTCCTCTAAATAAGAAAAAGATGCCAAGAAACGGAGGTGCTGGAGCTCTGCAAGCGTCTCCTTCACTTAGGAATCATTTCCCTGCATTCTAATTCTTGAATCAAAAGTTTCAGTGTAAAAGGTTCTTGGCTAAGAGGGAAAGAAAAGTGCCAGACTCCTGCTACTGGGGTACTCACTCAGGATGAAATTTAAGCTGGGCAAGGGCTATGGAACACATAAATCCCACTTCAAGGCCTTATGTGGGATTTGCGGGATGTCTGGTTAGTACCAATTGTGAATGACTCACCATCCAGAGATCTGCAACACTTTGAACTTCCAGCCATGCCCTGGGTGGCTTGAAATGTTATGAGTCATTAGTGCAATGTGACTTCCAAATAACCTGACCTCAAAGTATATTCCTGCCTCACCTTCACTGACAAAATCACTCCCAATCTCTTGGCTGCATGCACGCTAAACCCCTTCCCTTATGTTCCTACTAGCAGGGGTGCAGCCTTACTGACACCACCATCAGGGACATGGTGTAGAGGAGCCCGTCAGAGACAGTAAACTCACTGGAGAAAGTATCAGAGGGGTAGCCGTGTTAGTCTGGATCTGTAAAAGCAGCAAAGAGTCCTGTGGCACCTTATAGACTAACAGGCGTATAGGAGCACGAGCTTTCGTGGGTGAATGCCCACTTCTTCACATGCATCCGAAGACGTGGGTATTCACCCATGAAAGCTCATGCTCCTATACGTCTGTTAGTCTATAAGGTGCCACAGGACTCTTTGCTGCCTTCACTGGAGAAAATTCACCCTGCAGACATTCCCCCCCCCCACCCCTCCTCCTGAAAGAAACTGAGCCACTGACTCTTTGCATCTCACTCATTCAGTTAGGAACCATCTAGTTCCTGATGGAACTGAAAGGAGGGTGTGTACACCGGCACGTGCATTTTAATTATTGAATCAAAAAAGTATGTGGCTATAAGAACTTCTGGGCAAAGAAAGAAAGAAAGAAGCCCCAGGATTCCTGCTACAGAGGGCAGCTTTGTAGGGGGCATGAAAGGATATTCACCCAGGGGGACATTTACTCCTGTGCAAGACTTAAATGCTGCACAGGCATCATGCTGGCTCTCTGTGCAGGGGTGGATCTCACCCTAAAGAAGAAGTAATTGCAAGGAGATGGATTGAGAACGCTGTCAACAATGCAATTCATGAGCAGGCTCGGAGGATGTGAAAGCAAGGCAATAGATTGACAGTTCAATGGATTCCAACACACGAGTGAGATCGTTGGTGACCTGGCCAGAACTGGGCAATTGGAAACTCTGGTGGGAATGGCAACGGGTGAGGATATGGGAAAATAGGAAGATATTAACTGAAGAAAAGATGAACGCTCCTCTGAGATCAAAGCATCTCGGAGAATAAAAACACCTGTCGTGAGATTGTGCCCGGGGTATGTGGCCGGATTGACAATCACTAGAGATGAGACCGAGATTATATGCACTCTGCATGAAGTGGCAGGAACATGTTAACTGAACACCTGCCCACACTTGTCAATGTAATAGTATAAGGAAAGGGAAGCTTTTTGGATCGCACACTTTGGATCAAGCCCTGACAAAGGACCCCATACGAGTAGCCACATTCATTCTCAAACTTCCTGGCCTGATACAACTATTGCAGAACAGGAAAAGAGGCAGACAGAAGGAGGGGCGCACCTTGCCTGCTTCCTAAACCAACTCCTCTCATCTCCCGGCCATAAGAAGGCACGCACCACATTGAGACCCACTTGCTGGATCTGTGTGTTGGGGTGGGGAGGGGATCTAGTCTATAGGGTACTTACAAGGGGGTTGGCCTCTAGGATGTGAAATACTGACTGCCACCTGGAACGCGTGTGAGCAGCAGAGGTTTGTCGGTAGGGAGACGGTGCAGGGAGAGAATGCCTCCCCACAGCAAAAAACCTTATAATCCATGCAGCTGGATTTGGATGATTCCCCCTTCCCCCATTGCAAACACCACACCTCGCACCTGATTTAGAAATAAATCTTCAACTACCAACAAAATCTCCCTCTCCCTGCATGCAGCAGCCAGTCTCACCCCTCCCAGCCTTAACAGGAATGCCAGGGCCCAGCTGGGTACATCAGCGCCCACAGCCCTGAGCAAGCATCTTGCAGATAATCAGGCATCCTGCCAGAAGCACTGTTCTGGGCTTCTTTATCTTGATAAATCTGTTACTTCCTAAATGGGAGATTTCCCCTCACAGCAACCTCTGGCGAGCCTAATAAATTTCCAGATTGGAAACAGGTTTCTATTTAGCGATTTCCTCAGTGTCTACTTATCTTAATTATGATACTTCCTAAGTCATGTAATGTATGAGATTTGTACAGTGGAAGTGGGCTGCAAGCCAGGTTCCTTGACGTATCTCTGATGGCAGCTGGGTCGGACACACTGGGGTAAATGAAATGCTCCATCTTTAGAGAGACAAGGCCCATGGGCAAGGTGGTATCTTTCATTGGACCAAATTCTGGTGGTGAGAGACATGCTTTCCAGCTACACAGAGCTCGTTTTCAGGTCTGGAAAACTGAAGAAGAGCTCTGAGTAAACTTGAAAGTTTGTCTCTCTCACCAATAGAAGTTGGTCCAGTAAAAGATATCACCTAGGGGGACCAGATAACAAGTATGGAAAATGGGGATGGGGGGTAATAGGCACCTATATAAGACAAAGCCCCGAATATCGGGACTGTCCCTACAAAATCGAGACATCTGCTCACCCTAATATCACCTCACCCACCTTGTCTCTCTAATATCCTGGGACCAACGTGGCTTCAAAATGTGTTGTTGAACATAGGAATCACCTGGTTTCATTTTAAGTATGTAGCAAAATGTTTCGATGAAAATCAACGCTGGAGAAAGAAAAGTAGGATTCAAGGGGGACTTAAAAGGCTGCCTGGGTCTTGTAGGGAGAAGTAGTTGCACAGAGATAGATTGAAGGATGGAAATATAGAACATGAAAGAGGAAGATGGGGACTGAGGCTGGAGAATCAGAACAAAGGATAATAGCAACATCTAGTTTTTATAGAGCATTTTTGGTCCATAGATCTCAGAGCGCTCTACAGATGGGGAAGAAGAGTGCCTTACTTGAAAGTCACGCAGTAGCCCACTGGCAGAACTAGGATTCGAACCTCTATAGCCCAGGACAGCATGCTATACCACTACACCATACCAACTGCCCTCCACAGTCTTTGGAGCTGCAGATTAAAGGGTATGGATAAGGAAAACTCTGATGAAACAGACATGTTCTGTACCAAGCATAATCTTAGCACTTCAACAGCAACAACAGGAGAATCGCTCCCTTTTTCTCTATTGCAATAAAATGTGCATCTTACTTTGGTGGAGACGGCCTGGGCTGTGTCGGGCGGTTGGGAAGCAGAGCGCACTCAGCAGAACCCGCGCAGCGGAGATCCAGACAGCGAGATGAGAAGTAGAAGAGAATTAAACAAGAAGCTGGGTGTAGACACTGAAGTCTGGGCTGCCTACCAAGCCTGTTTATTACAAGACCCAAGCCTGCGATAAGATGACTAGAGCCCTGCAAGTCTTCAGATAGCCACTTTATAGCCGGGGATAGCCACTTGGCAGCCATGGATGCGGAGGCAGATAGCCATGGCCCATGTTTGTAGGTGGCGGATCAGAAGCGGATACAAAGTTTGTATCCGCGCTGGGTTCTAAAGATGACTCAACTCTCACCATGTTTACTTCATCTGGCTGCAAACACAGCTCCAGGGAACAGCGGGATATTCCCATCACCCTTTCACTGAGTGAGACTTGAGTGACATGCAAACCCC